GTTATAAATACATGAGTATAAATTTAGGCATCCGCCCCTACTGAACCATTCACAAATCCGTCCTTGTTCGGGAATGGAATTAGCGTAGCATCTTATTTTCAAAGGTTGGACTGGATATACTAATCTCTTGGCCTGGGATCTGTTAGAATTCTCAGAAGTACAATCAAGATTTGTCTAGAATACGTGGGAAGACCATTTCAAATCACTAAAGGTAAAGGTAGATATGGATAAGATGTTCTTGCCCAAATTTTCAAACCGTACATGCTCTTCCAAATTTTCCACGTAATGAAAGAACATAAGCTAAAGGTAGATTTGGATAAGATGTTTATGTGTCCAACAAACAAGTATAATGCTTAGCTATTCATCGGTGAGTAGGGTAAAATTACTCACCCCTATATGCTCAAATAACAAAATAACATATCAACTTTAATAATAAAATAATTCACACCTTTCTTGCCTTTTGGGATTAACCATCCGAAAAAGCAAGAAATGTATGAATTATCTTATTATTAAAAATAATGTGTTATTTTGTTATTGGATCACATGCTTAGTGAGTAACTTATCATTATCCAACAAACAAATGCTTCTCCTTTACCTTCTGGGGAAAAAAAAATTCACTACCCTCTCATCTTACTTATTATTTATTGTACTTTTTTTTTTTTGTCCTTCTGTCTCCTACTTTTGTTGTTCTTAGCCATCTGTCCTTAGTGTCACGGGCTTAGAGTTTCAGCACCACTCTAGCTGCTCCCGTGCGGCACCAAGATGTTGCTTCCACTCTCGCAAGTACTTGGTCAGCCTAATTCCCGTGCACACCTTAGCCAACACACTCCCCTCGTGCGCTTACTAGTGTTGTAGTTGCACTCGCCCTCTCCTCACTTGGCTTGCACACTCACACACACTAAGACACTTAAGTTGGTAAGGAAAGAACACTTCTATTACTTCAAAGAATGCTTTGTACAAGGCTAACACTCAAGCTCTCTACAAGGCTCTCAAGACTCACTCTAGGACTTGTTGGTTACAAAATGAAGTCCTACTCCTATTTATAGGCATCCCCATCCCTAATGGATGGCTAGGATGCGTTCTAACCAATGGTGGAGATTGATTCTCTAGAATCTTCTTCCACCTTCTACACCTCTCCATACATATCTACAACATTCTAGAACCCTCCATACTACTCCACATAATTCTGGAGAATTCTAGAACCTTCCACACACTTCTAGAATATACTACACATATCTAGAATATTCCACACAACTCTAGACTACTCCGGAAGACTCTAGAAACTCCACTTGCCATGCAGCGTCCTCCTCAGCGTCTGCGTGTCGCCTGCGTGGCACAACCTCCATAGGCGGGGCGTGACATTCTCCCCCACCCATTTCCGTGACGCCCTCATCACGGTTTCTTCAGCTGACCCAGCCTCTCGCAGGTCATCAGCACTTGTGCATATGTCCTTGGCCCAAACGTACGAGCGCCCTTTGGGAGATGTGAAGTCCTCACGAGCTCCATCGTGTTGACTGCCACCTCTGGACTCTCTTTCCTGCCCACGAGCGGCACCATGCATGCGGCCTTGCCTTCCTTGCCTCCAAGTATCATCAACGCACCAAGGCATGGTAGTGGCGCGGCGTTGTTCCTGTCCATGAACTCCAACCCCAGCACCATGTCATGGTCGTCCATCTCCGCAACTTGGAAGTCGGCCTTGCCCTTCCATCCTTGCATGCATAGCTCCACCTCTTTGCACACTCTACTCACGCGTGCCTCTTCGGAGTTGACGGCCTTGATCCATCCCTCCGTCTTGCGCATCTCCAAGCCAAGTCGTTGCGCCTCCTCTGGGGTAATGAAGTTGTGTGTGGCGCCCGTGTCCATCAACGCTTGCACGGCTTTGCCACCAACCTGCGCGTCCACATAGCGCACCCCAGCTACCTTCTTTGCCTTGCCCTTCTTCTTGGTGTCATGCGCCATGCTACTCAACATCTGCATAGCCCCCATGCACCTATCTTCATCGTTGCCCGCATCGTCCACCCTACCCTTGGCCTTATCCTTCACAAGGGCGCTCATGGTCTTCTTGTTGGGGCAGTGTCGCAATATGTGCGGCCCTTCACACAAGTAGCACTTCGGCTCCCACTTGCCCTTATCGCGGCGCTCCCTTTTGCCACTAGCCTTAGACCTCTCTCCATGGTCCTTGCCCTTATCATGGCGTGGGCGTCTTTCCTTATCGCTGTGCTCATCATCACTTGACTTGGGCGAGCCCCTTTTCTTGAAGCGACGGTCTCCCCCACCTTTGCCGTGGTCCCTCCTGGGAGACGTGGCCCTCTTGTCATCGTGCCTAAAGTCTTCAAGGCGCTCCGCTATAGCCATTGCAGATGCCAAGTCTCTAGGCACCCTCCTTCTCAGCTCTGTGGCTACCCAAGACTGCAACCCATCAATGAACAAGCACACACGTTGCAGCTCCGGTATCTCTGAGATCTCCAGCATCAAGTTGGAGTACTCCTTCACATACTCCCTTATGCTGCCCTTCTGCTTCAGGCGCCTTAGGTTGATCATGGCGAGGTCCTCAACACACTCAGGGTAGAACTGCCTTTTGAGCTGCCTTTTGAACTCCTCCCATGTATCAACTGCTCTTGCGCCCCTACCGGTGAAACGCTGCCTCCACCATAGAGCGGCGGTGTCTGTGAGGTACATAGTGCCTATCTGCACCTTCTCCTCATCATCCTCGATCTCCATGCACTCGAAGTACCGCTCCATGTGCCAGAAGAAGTTGTCAATCTGGCGCGCATTCCTCGCCCCATCGTACTCCTTGGGCTCCGGCGCCTTCTTCTTCCTTGGCTTCACCACGACCTCGCACGCCTGGGAGAATTCCTTCTTACACTCGGCAATCTCCACGCACAAGTCGTCTACCAGATCATGAAAGTCCCTTTCCTTCTCTTGCGCCTTGTTGGCGATGCCATCAATCAGCTCGTAGAGCTCCGCCATCCTTCTCTCGAGCCTATTAAACTTAGTCTCCGTGTAGACCAAGTGTGTGCCAAGCTTCTCCTCCAAGCTCTGCTCTAAGATGTGGACTTGGTGGTCTCCTCCGCTAGCCATGTCTACTCCAACAAAGCTCCCTTGACGAACCTGGCTCTGATACCAACTGTCACGGGCTTAGAGTTTCAGCACCACTCTAACTGCTCCCGTGCGGCACCAAGATGTTGCTTCCACTCTCGTAAGTACTTGGTCAGCCTAATTCCCGTGCACACCTTAGCCAACACACTCCCCTCGTGCGCTTACTAGTGTTGTAGTTGCACTCGCCCTCTCCTCACTTGGCTTGCACACTCACACACACTAAGACACTTAAGTTGGCAAGGAAAGAACACTTCTATTACTTCAAAGAATGCTTTGTACAAGGCTAACACTCAAGCTCTCTACAAGGCTCTCAAGACTCACTCTAGGACTTGTTGGTTACAAAATGAAGTCCTACTCCTATTTATAGGCATCCCCATCCCTAATGGACGGCTAGGATGCGTTCTAACCAATGGTGGAGATTGATTCTCTAGAATCTTCTTCCACCTTCTACACCTCTCCATACATATCTACAATATTCTAGAACCCTCCATACTACTCCACATAATTCTGGAGAATTCTAGAACCTTCCACACACTTCTAGAATATACTACACATATCTAGAATCTTCCACACAACTCTAGACTACTCCGGAAGACTCTAGAAACTCCACTTGCCATGCAGCGTCCTCCTCAGCGTCTGCGTGTCGCCTGCGTGGCACAACCTCCATAGGCAGGGCGTGACATTAGGCTTAGAAGGAGGTTTGTGTTGCCCACTTAGGTCACGTCACTTTTTAAACACGGAAAATTTTTAAACAAAATGTTAAAAATAAAATTAACATATCTTTGATATAGTTACTTACATGTCCAATGGCTGTTGGGACTAAGGTCCACGAACTATAAAATAACTTTTCATTTTAAACTGCTATGAAGGTTTTTTACACAATCCCCGGCCAACCAAAGATTTGGCTTTTCAATTGTTCAAGGTCAAATATTTTCATAATTCTTCCTTCTTACAAGCCAAGACAATTATAGGCTTCATGAAGGGGTAGAATTGTAACTTGCAACACCTTTGATAATTATCGATAATTATCTTTGATCATAATTATATATATATATATATATAAAATTATCCTTTACGTAATTTCAAGCTGGTTTGGGCTTGTTAGGCTATTTGGTTCGACCAATCAGTTCATATTTTATAATGGGCTAAATTGAAAATAGGCCCAAATTATAACTTGACACTATGCAATTTTTTTTCCTCAAAAATTGCGACCCCCTAAAGGAGTTGGGGATCTTAAGATGCCGGCGGAGCTCATTGAGTTCTACTTGGAAAATTGATTTGTTTCGCACTTTTTTCTCTCCTATGGAGGTGGAGGCCATCACTCGTTGCCCACTAAGTTTATTCAATAAAGGGGACGTAGCTCTCTATGAAATCCGCAAACAAAATCACCTTCTCTCTAATTGAGGACCAAACTTTGGGCCTCTAATGAGATGAATCTAGTACTAGTCAAGCATTTCAGGGCCTATGGTAGCATTTGGTCATGTTCCACTACAAGTAAAATACAACACTTTTTATGGCATTGTTGTAAAGATTTGTCTAGAATATTGAGGGGAGACAATGAAAACTGTGATTTTTGGTAGAACTGATCAATCTTCACCAACTTGTGAGAGAAAGAGGGATGATGCATGGCGACAGATAGCAAGAAAAACAACAGGGTTAGAGAAAGCCGATTAGACCCCCAAAAATCTAGTAGGATTTTTAAAAAATTATGGATATGCAATATAAATAAATAAAAATAATTCAGTGGAGGGTCTGCCGCCACTTAGCACACTGTAGTAAAGGGCTATAGCCCACTGCTAAAAACTCCCCATTACAGGTTTACCCGCGGATTGAGTAAGCCTTTAAATTGGAAATTTGAAGTCATATTAACCTAATTGATTCTGATATGAACAACATCTGAATTACAGAAGCAACTCTTTATTCCGCATAGCAGATAGGCATGGCATAAAAGCAGGACATTGTTTAAACAAGCCAAATGTTTCAACACCAAACAAAGCATCACCAATTCAACGATCCACATACCGGTCTACCTTTGTCTTAGTGACTTTAGGTCTGAACTCCCGAGTATCAGGTCAAGGTTCCAAGACTGGTATCTTTGAAACAAAAAAAAAAAAAGGTTCCAAGACACGGGGAGCTAGTTCCCATATTATAGGGCCAACTTCACAACTTCAGATGCAGCAATGAACTCACTCCATCAAGCCCTTTCGAGGTGTAGTGAGACTGATAGTCTTTTATAGAGGTTTCACAGTAGATTTGGGGACTTTCCTCTGATATTAACTCCTTGATCGGTCCATAAACTCTCGAGGAATTTCCTCTCTGGACTGGTGAGAAAAAGGAAGCCACTGAAATTCTTGGCCCTACATGTCTTGCCACTACTCTATGATACACACTCTTAACCCTGTCATTACTGATGAGCTGCCCAAAACCAGACACGAAGAAAATTAATCAATGTGATTCATTTTATACATAACTTCAAATTAAAATTGGCATCATTACTTTTTTGTAGGCTTACCTGCAAAAGTTCTCCAATGTTAATTACTAGAGCTCCACGCTTCGGGGTTATATCAACCCACTGATTCTCATGATGAACTTGGAGGCCACCTATCTGGTCTTGTAGAAGTATGGTGAGGAAGGCAACGTCAGTGTGGCTGCTAGCACCCAAAGTTAATTCTGGTTCAGGACACACAGGGTAATAATGGCCCGCAAGGGTAAGTTGCTTCGCGCAATCCATGTCCTTCAAATGGTTGGGGTTGAGTCCAAGGGCCTCCGATATTAGTTCAAAGACAGTGTGTCCCAATCTCATCACTTGCTTTGAGTAATCAATCATTATATCACTGCAAGTTGTTCAAAATACATCACATAGACAATTCTAGATGGTCAAGTTGCAAATGAAACAATTGCTACTAGACAGTATCATGTAATAAGTCTTAGAACAGAAATGCTGCAAAACCACATCACGTCTCTTTTGAGGTAGGTTTTGTGCAGACCATACAGCAAGAGAGATAGTCAAAGCAGAAATTCAAATAAACCAAGGATTTTTTAACAATGGTTAGTCATAAAAAGAAGGATAATTACTAGTTGATCAGTTTGCTTTAAAACAAACACACACACAGACACACCCATATAATAGGGGTGAGATATATCTGACTCTAAAAAGGCAGAAAGCTAGATCAGCTTTTGAATAGATACAACTCCCTAAAATGAAAATTGATTCAACACACACTCAAATCATTTTCAAAGGTTTTCAAAAAATATTTTTACTTATTACATATGGTAGCAATACAAAGGGAGCTCACAGTGAGACCACCCTTGTGGCAGATGATGTTTAATAAATCTTACAAGTGCATATTTTAAAGCGAGAAGTTTTTATATACTTGTCTGTACTATTTTTTGTGTCCACTGAATGGTTCTTAAGGAAAATTTAACAAAAACATGTCCCAATTACAAAATTTTATTTTTTAATAGGTGTACTTCTCTCTGTTGTATTCCATGATACAAGAGAAGGTTCCATTTGAATAATTATTTATTTCAGGAAAAAAATAAATAAATAATAGAGAGGAAGGATCAAGATTGCTATTTTTGAGAGATTTGGATTAATATTATCAATTAGATAAATTTGTGGTTGAATTGCTGTCATCCCATTCAATCCAATTGGGATAGCCCGTACCCCACATGTCTCTTGTCTCACTCATTGACCTATTACATAACCTAACTTTTGTTAGTTCACTCATTGTACTTTACACAAAGTACAGTTGTGCCCACATTTATTTCTTGTCCCTCACACATATTTCATAGCCTTGGCTCAAGTATTATTGCACTGTCACACATATTCTTGCACTGTCACACATATTTCATGGCCTTGGCTCCAAGTTCAGTCAGACTAGCCAAGGAATAACACGAAGCTCTGAATTATAAGTGTATTTAATACTCCAAAATAAAAGGAGAAAAATGATCTAGATCGATTTCATAACAAATAAATAGGAATTTCTAGAAGTTCTGACAATCTATTAAAGAAAAAACAATGAACTTGTAAGATTCCCAATAAATTCCTCCAGTATATACTATTTCATTTCATTTTAAGTCAACTAATCCTATCCAAATAGCATTATATATGTACCATTTTAACCATCCCATGATTTATTCAGAAACTAAGTACTGAATTAGAAGTTTACAAACATTCTAGTCTCATCACATACCTGCATATCTCAGGTAATTCATCACGATCAGGAGGATTGGGAGCCATAAAGCAAAAAATAGTGTCCCTCCAATCAGCAGCCGGCGAAGTATACAGAAGAAAATTGGACACAAACAACACTTTTCTCTTGACATCCCTTGTGTACCACTTTTTCTTCTCCTCAGTGTCTTGCTCATTAAATCTGCATATCCCATCTACCATCTCATCCAAAACACTCACCGGAATTCCATGATTGACAACCTGAAAGAAACCCCACTTCTCACAAGCCTCCAAAACTTCTCCGCTGATCTCTCTGCGTTTGGTTGCATCTCTATGAACACCATCAAGATCGATAACTGGAATAGTACCTTGTTTGGTTCCCGATAAGTCGCCAAGCTGAGTATAAGGTTTTTGATGAGGTTGGTCATGTTTGTGATTGATAAATATTGGTGGGATCTTTGTTACACCAGCATCTACAAGTCCCTTGACACCAGATTTTGTATCATCAAAGGCTTTTAGTTCGGTGTTACGGTCATAACTGGTTTCACTAGGAGCCTGAAATTTGACTGTGCTAGTTGCCATCATCTCTATGTCTCTCGATCTCTAGTGAAATAATTGGAATAGGCTTTTAGTTCTGTAGATCAATAACTGGAATAGGATTTTAGTTCTGTAGGGATTGAGTTTGGGTTATGTGGATGTAGCAAAGAAACATGTTGCTCATGGGTGAAAGAGCATGTTGACTAGATGAGATTATATGTATAGTATATTGTTGGTTTGCATTATTGAAAAAACATCACTTTATTGTTTATAATAAGAACAATATTTGCCCATGTGCACTTGAAGTATCAATATTAAATGGATTAGTTGATTTCTGATCAATTTGATCCAATCCTACAAAGTCAATTCTGAATTATAATTAATATTTATAAATCTGATTGATTTAGTGGTTTACATACTGTTGCCCAAACAATGATCCAAGAGGGGAGTGAATTGGGTCTTTTCCTAAACTATAGGAAAATTTTTGATTAAAGGATTTGAGTTTAAGAATAAATCAGTTAACAGATTTGTACAGAGATTAAGAAATTGAACTACAATGATGTAATAAAAAAGACAAAGTAAAGACTATATAGATTGTTCATTTTATCGAACACTTGGTGCGCAATTAAATTTTAATGAATGAAAAAGCGAATCTAGGTTTTTTAGGAAAACTCTACTCCATGCAACAATATATTCAATTCAACCAAACAATCTATTTAATCCAAGCATACATCCCATTCTCCTTTTTAATGCATACTATCATGACAATAAGAAATCTCATTGCATTCATAATTAGAACACTTGGAGTGCAAATAGAGATTTAACAAATGAATACGGATGTATTAGTTTAACTAGCAAAAGTAAAGAGAGATGAAGATAGAAAATGCAAACATAAAAACACCAAATCATTGCGTGGTTCAGCTCCTCTCGCCTGTTGGAAATATATGAAATATATTTTCAAATTTATTTATAAAATATTTTATTATAAGGTAGTGTTTAAAATAAAAAATAGTCTTTTTTGAAAAGAAATTACTTTTCAGAATTGGTACATGTTAGTTTTTGAATTGAAAAAGTGTCTTTCTGAAAAAGACACAGCCTTCGCGTTACAAATGTGAAAGTTGAAAGGTGATTTCACGTTGCACACATGAAACTTACAGTGTCTCTCTCTATCTGAATCATTCTTTTTATAGTATTCCTTTACAGAATTCTTTTTCATTCCTACCTCCCCATATATATTGGTATTCTCTATTCACCTACATTTTGAACTGTGCAAACGTTCAACTACAACAGACTCCTTTTATAGTAAGAATTACGCTTTAAAAAGAAAGCATAATTATTATGTACCTGGAGTCATTTGGGTTACTGGTTATGTTCTTGCAGAATGTATTATTTGCTAGCCAGAAGTTACCTTGCATGGTGTAGCCTTTAAGATTGGTGTTGGAAGTTCAGATTGTTGCTGAACATGTTATTCGTGTAGAGACATGGATCACCAGTTCACTGTAAGTTCACTTGCAGATACCTTCTGAAAAAAAAAAGTTCACTTGCAGAGAGTTGTAACATTTCAAATTTCCATTGCATATTGTATTACTTCCAACAATTTTTAAGTGAAATTTTATGCTCCGAATCACCAGTTCTAGGAAGCGATGACTTGGGTGTTGGTATGGTATACTAGGATGGTGTGACGAAAAAGGGTTGCTTGCTTGTAATGTTTAGGATTTTTCCTACTTTTCATTTTCGGGAATTTTTTATTTTTTTGAGATTTTTTGTTGTTGCCTTGTTTTGCGTTTTGGATACCGCGTGGTGTGCCGAGTGAGTCCCAAGAGTTGGCTGGGGCATTCCTTAGAGTTCAGAACTCATTTTTTAATTTTTCGGGCTGAGAGGTCCCTGGTGGGACCCCGCAACCGGTATTATTGCGTACGGGAATTATTTTTCGGGGCCGTTACTCTTTATTCATTATTATTTGATGCGTATTCAGGTGACTATATGTTTAGACATGTCTTGTGGTGTGTTTAGTACACGTACATGTGTATATGTTTATATATAAGTATATAAGGAAGGAGATATTTTCTTTCGGTAGACTCACATGATATCAATTCAATTTATATAATACCACATGGCTATTTTTTTTTTTTTTTTTTTGCCACAATCAGCTTCTCTCTCTCTCTCTCTTTCTCACACACAACTCTTCCTCCCTCTCATTTTCTTTTAATTTTTCTTTTCCTTTGAGCTTCATTATTTCTCCTTCATTTTTCGGCCAATCGGTCGGGTTTTCGACCTTGGTTCCTAGACTGAAAGTGTTCCTCTCATCGTTCTCTATCACATAGTCTAAGAATTTAATTTTCGGAGGAGCGGTGAATATTTTTAAAAAATTTAAAATTTTTAGATCTAATGTTTCGAAGGGTTTTGGGCCACTTCGATCGAGTCGGATTCCGGAGCTGCACCTTTGGAGTAGTTTACTCTCCTCGTCATCGGCTATGTTTCCACCAAAAAAATTTCCGTTCCACCGTCATTGACTGTCGTTGATCGGCATTGACCGCTTTGACCGGCGTTGACTTTTTCGGTTAGGGATGCATTTTGGCTGCTTTTGAGATAGGGATGTCTAAACCATTAAGTTTTGACTTTAGTTGAATTCGTTTACTTGATTTCTTATTAAGCATGATTAAAATGATAAATTTGACATTTAAATGTTAATTATGTGTTTACGGGTTTATGTGACGAAGCATATTTAAGATGATATTGATTGTGTATATATATGTGTTTGGTTGCAAGGTTGTTTAAAAGGCATGCCTTGCCTTAAATTGCTTACTTAAGGTTACATATATTACATAATGATGATGATTATGCATCGCTGAATTGATAAAGTTCCAAGTATGTATATGTCGATTTCATTCATGCATGATTCCATTCATGGCATAGGCATGGTCGGGAAAAGTGAGAATGAAATGACTCTTTTTAAAGAAATGTGTTTGGAAAAGGTTGTGAGAAAATGTTTTATAAATGGAACCAGGTTTCGCGAGCTTGGGGCTAATTCGACCTAGAGGGAGCGCGGCCCAGTGTAGGGAGTAAAAAAGTTGATAGTAGGCCTAAAATGGTTGCCAGATTTGGAACCAAAGATAGCTATCAATCTAGCCTCGATAAAGTTGGTTAGCGGTTTTCAGTGTATGTTGTATTGGGCAGGGACTATTGTCAGGAAGGCATTACATTTCATGGCATATTGACACATATGATTATGATTGGTTATGAGGTGATAGTTTCTTTTGAATTGAATGACGTGGATCATGATTTTGATAATTCTTCATGTATGATCGCGACTTTTTCTCCAAGTTCTTTGGTTGTTGGCCCAAGGGAGTCCAAGATCAGTGTTTTAGGCATTGCCTATTGAACGGTTGAGTTCACCCCTTATTTTAACATTTTTAGGAAACCGGAGGAGTATGGACGTATGACTTGCATTTACGAACTTAAACGACGCTAGAATTTCCCATAATATTATGATGTTGTATTTACGGCCATGGCGGCCTCATTTATGTACTTAAATTTCTTTGTAATTGTTTAAAGAAAATTTGTATAATTTGATTATTTATACTGTATAAAATGATCGTTTAATGGATGTATATATATTAATTGTATTGTCGTGAGTTGGGATAGGTTTGATTCAGTTTTTAAGGCCCCAAGCGAGGCCATTATCTTTCTTATGCTTTACAGCAGGTTTGCAGCAGGGGTACTATACAGGGTTATTCCGGCCGATCGAAATGGCAATTCGATCGACCTGTATCTATTTGAACCAATTCCAGTAGCCATCTCTATTATATAGTCACAACAGGAAGACCGGTAGAATTGTTTTAGTCGATCGATATAGGGCCATTTCGGACAACCGAAGTGCCATTTCAATCAACCGATTTGTTGCCCCTCATTGCTTCTTGTTTCTTCTTCTGGTATGACCATTCTTAAGTCAAAAGAAGTTGCCTTGGATCACTATAGAACTTAGAATGATGAAATAATGATGTAATGACCTTGGATATGATGGTATTGATTTAGATGACCTCGGGTTCAGGTAAGGACCCAGTTAGTGATTCGGACCCCCGGGTTTGGGTCTTTACATTACTATAGTTGTTACATACATATTTGTAACGACCTAAATCCGGAGATCCGAATCGCTAACTAGGTCCTTACCCAAACCCGAGGACACACTAGGGTGTGAGATATTATTTTGTAATTTATCAGAAACAAAACAAGTCCTAGTCGAGTTGTAATTTCAAGTTACTATATCAGGATCGACAGCAATTGCGGAATTGGAAAGTTGTTCAAAGTTACCATGACTGAGATCATTCGTGAAAGGTAAGAACGGCACGTTAGGAAGGAATCTAAAAAGGTTAGGACACATTATACACTTGGTATATTTTCCAAACTTACCAAAACTGTGTTTTCAACCTTCAGAGCCTCAGAAATTCGAGTCTGTTAGACTTAAACCGATTCAGCATCCTTGAACCGGTTTAACACCCTTCAAGGTTGGCTCGAAATATAATCTGCCAATTTTAAACCAGTTCAGCACCCTTAAACCAGTTCAACACCCCTAAACCAATTCAAGAAGTCCTAACAGCATTCCAATTTTAGTTTCTTGTTTTAGAATTATTTCCTATTTGGTTTAGAATTGTACCAAGTCCTATGCACGAAATTTTCTACATTTTTAGAGGGATTAGGACATTCTAAATTCTATATAAACCCTAATAGTCATCTAGGTTTATTCATGGCTTTTACATACAAAATTCAAATCTATTAGAGAGCCATCTTTGAGAGATATTTTTTATTCAGAAAATCAATCTGATTTTTCTGATTTTATTTTTAAGAGCACACACATAAACACAAGAGTGATTTAGTAGTGTTGTTCCCTATCTCATCTGAATTAGAGCATAATTGAAGATTTAGAAATTCTGAAAAGCAAAATTTATTCATTCTTCGTCAAATTCAAATCTTGAAAAAAATGAGTGAAGCGATCACACTTTAAAGGGGTCAAAGCATTCGTGGAGTGTTGTTTATCTACCTGCAACTCTTCTATAGAGATCAAGAGTAAGCCTGAGGTCGAGAGCTGTTGCGAGGGAGTCGTAAAGTCAGGGATTGTAAGCAATTGATTTTTCCTAGAATGATAGGGTGTGAGCCTGAGTCAAAGTTTGATGTACTGTAACGACCCGAACCCGGGGGTCCGAATCGTTTACCGAGTCCTTACCCGAATCTGGGGTCGTCTAAGGGCACTATGGTAAATTCCAAGGTCAATACATAATTTACGTACCATCCCAAGGCTTATACAAAATAAATGAGATCACAAATACAAAAGATGATAAAATAGTCCACTAACCCATTCAAACCTATGGAGGAATGTCGTCCGCCACTTCCTTCCCGTAACTTAAAAAATGTAATAATATAATGGAGTGAGCTTAACAGCCAAGTAGGTAATGCCTAAAACACCAGTTTTAGACTCCCTTGAGTCAATAACCAAAAAAAAAAAAAAAAAAAAAAAAAAAAAAAAAAAAAAAAAAGATGTCGGGATCATACACAGGGAATATCAAAATCACAATCCACGTCATTCAATTTTAAAAAATAAAAATTATCATCAAATAATCAATCATAATCATAGATGCCAAAATGCCATGAA